CCTCTCTGGGCCCATGCTTCAAAGGCAACAAGGAAGAACACTGGGCCCAGTCCTGTCCAAACATGAGACCCCCGCTCAAGGTGTGAAAGGGAAGGCCACTTGAAATCAGACTGGAGTCTAGCCCCTCCAAGTCGGACCTCAGCCATCCAGCGAGGCCACCCTCTGGATCCAGTTTGGAGTGCCCAGGCCTCTGGGACTGGCCACTGAAGAAGCTGCCCAGGCCCTGACAAGGCCCCACAGACTTACATCACCAAAACAGAGCCTCAAGCAACAATTGTGGTGGCAGGTAAGCTGATCTCCTTTTTAAATGACACTGGGGCCACTTATTCTGCCCTCCTCAGTCTCTATTCCTGGGATGGATGGATTAGTCTCACAGCCATTAGCCACCTCACATCGACACTGCATCTTACTAGACACACACCCCTTTCCCAAAGAACAACTTTCTTTACAGCAAAACTGTAAACGTTTATTTAACATCCTGCTACTATCAGAAGCAGAAGTCATTATCCCCAAACCTTAGCATGTTATCTCTAAGGAAAAATGTGTCAGTTTTAAATGCAAGCAGCTGGAGGCCTGGAAACTGTAGTCCTAGAAGAAGCTGTGGGCCTCCTCCCCATCTCCCCCATTCTCCAACCTCATGTGCCTAATTGGTAATTTAAAAGCTTTGGAGCATTTCTGGGTTAAATGATCAACTTAGATGTTTAAGTTCACATGATTTTAGCTTTTTTTTTTTTTTTAAACTGTTAATGTAATGTCATATGCTTTGTTGAAGGTATGTTTCTTGAAAGTGAGAGTGTTCATAAATGTCAATCTAAGAAATGCTGGTTGGTTACTTTTTGATTATCATTGGAAAATTAAGGTTTCTAAGAGTTAAGAATTCTAATTAAATTGGCAAGAAATTGTATGGTTTCGGCATTTTGAGGGAAAAGGAAAGTGAGGTGAAGTTGTAAAAAGGTTTCTAAGGAGAAATGTTAAATGGAAGTTATATGCACAGGCCAGTAATCCAGGACAAGCAGAATAGGGAAACTGAGATAGTTAAACAGCAGTTTGCAGCCATCTAGCAAATCCTATCTTCCCTAAACCGAGGACACTTAAGAGTAAATGGTTTGCATTTGTCCTGCCCAACCAGAGGGTAAATGGCTTAAACCACCCTATTCAGGGAGACAGCAGAAGTCTAGTTAGTGCCATTTGCCGACCACACCCAAGGACAAACGAAGCTAAGAGAATAAACCTCATTTTGGTATATTATACTACAACCCTCCAAAACAATCTCTTTTCTTCCATCAGACCATTTGTCATAATTCTTATTGTTCTAACTTTTGCCTCGATAATACTAAAATTTATCCACCAGGTTACAAGCCCTGCTTGTACTCAGGAAATAACCACCCCTAGACATCATCACAACCTCCTTTTGTGCCCAGGTCCCTCTGACCGCCAGGTACAGAAACTCACCCGGGCAGAAAGCTCTGGGTGCCTAGCAAGGGGGAAAACAAGAACCTGGACCCCCGGGGAACCTAGCCTCCCCTTTCCTATCACTAGTCAGGCAGGTTAGCCCCCTGCTCTTTTCCTCCCTAAAGATAACATCTAGGTCTCCCTTGTATTTCAGCTCCAGGCCCAGAAAAGCAGCAAAACCGGACAAGTGACACGGTGGCAGCCTCAGGACCAGCGTTTACCTCCCAAGTCACTCAATAGGACCGCTGTCAAGCCTTCACCAACCAGTCTCTTGGGGCAGTCATGCTGGTGCAACCCCTCCCTCCAACCTTGAGAAATCTGTACAGTGTCCCAGCGACTCCAAAGTCCATCCCTCTATGATCTCGCGTCCCCCTCAGCAGTAAGTAACTATGGAAGACATGGCCTTCATCCCTATTCCATAAAACAAAAAGGCTAGACTATGTTAGGTCTGATCAAATAATCGAATCCATGCCCCCTGCCCGGGGAGACCTTTAGGCCACTTCACAAGGAACAGTCCCTTTCAGTTAGACCACATCCCACTTGCTAAGACCATTATCCTTCCCCTCCAGTCTGGATACTTCTCCGCCTAGAGTCCTTTAAAATCCGACTTCCCATCCCTGGGTGCTGGCACCATTTTGAGGCTCAGCGCATCTGGTTTTCCAGATGACCTAATAAATTCATAATTATTTACCCTTTTTGGTCTCATGCATTCCTCCTTTGGCGACCCTCACAGTAGCACCGTTTAAGAGGAAACTGAGAATATAAACAGGACCTGTGGAAATTTTTTCTCCAGGCTTAAAGAAATGTCCGCAAGGCAATGCAAGTGGTTTTCCCATGTCACGCATTTGAAATGTTCCAGGTGCTTTCATCTCTGTCATGTTGCAGCAATGAGCACTCCCTGTGGAACATACTTCTTACCTCCTTGAGGACAAGGGATGGAGACTTCTAGTCTTGACATTTATTATCTGTGGAGAGCTCTGTAAGAATTCATGGCTCAAGGCACATAATCATGGTGCCACTAGTTTTATGAGGTCAGATGTAGACTTCCTCAAATATTTCAAGGAATAAGCTTCTGTGAATGGACTCATTATAATTCAATTCCTCATCTTTCTCCACAAACATCCCTCCCCCCATTTTTTCTCATCTGCCTCTTAGTGGCATCAATAACTCCACAGTATTGCTTGAGCTTTTAAAGTCCCGTTCCCTTTTTTTCTTACTTCATTCTACCTCCCAACTCTGCACCATTATCACACTTGCCACCATCCTACTTCAGAACTCTGTTCCCTTTTGTCTGAACCATTGCAGTAATAGGACTGTTTCCACTGCCTCCAAATCCATTGTCTACTTCACTTGGAAGGACATGCAAAGAAAATTCTGTTTGAGCATCTCAGAATCGCACCTGATATGAGAATCTGGGTCCCATCTGCCTTTTTACACTATTCTACTACTCTGCATCTGTTTCTCAAAGAAATGCTCTGAGTTTTCCCACTCCGTACCTTGAGCCTTCCTTGAAGACACAGTTTCATTCACCACAACCAAGAAAAATTAAGTGCATTCTTCTATGACTTCCTATTGCACTTTAAAAAAAGAGCCCTGTTCATTTTCTTCCTTGCAGTCTATTTTTCTTGTCTATGTGTAGGTCTAAATCCCATATTAGACTGTAAATCCTTGAGGGCACAGGTCCTGTCTCTGAGCATAGTACCGGGCATACGATGCTACCAGTGAAACAGGGTGTGGAGGTGGATGGGGAGACTCTCACCAGAATCAATGAGAGGCAGAGCACTCGCCTCTCAGAGCATCACATCAGACAATGAAAAGGTGGGAGGACCCTAAGAAAGAGCATCTCATTGTGGGCTGACAAGCAGAGGCAGCTAAAGCTGCTTTCATCAGACGGGGAATGGAGAGGGGGTTCTGGACAATTGCAAGAGGGGGAACGCTGCTTCCTGAAATCCATCCTAAAATGCATATCCCTCTCTACTCAGGGTGCATTGGTAACAGAGGCACTGAAATATAAACAAAATTCTGTCATTTCTTCTCTTACATCTCTCCAAAGGTTTTCTAACTCACTCAGCATGAAACCAAGGATAATTACTCGACACAAAGGCTATATATAAAAATTCAACTGTATCACCTACAATTCCCCCCCGTGGCCCTATCTCCAACACTTCAGCATCAAGTCCCCACTCTGGATCTTTGAATTTCGGTTGGTTCTGTATAGAATGCTTTTTCTCCAAAGCTCTCCAGGATTGGCCTCTAATTATCTTACAGACTAGGTCTATATGAGAGACCGTCCCTGATACAAACCTTAGGTATCTACACAGTCACTTTCTACCACAAGAATCTTTTTAAGCAGTCTGCTTTGAAATTCTGTTTCTTTTTTATTGTTTGCTGATTGACCCATTGATTCTGAGTCTACTCCCAGTAGAAAATAAACTCCAAGAGTTGGGGAGCATCTGCTTCGTTCATTGGTTTTTCACTAGCATCTACAATACTCCCTGTCATATAGTAAGCAATAATTGTTGGATAAATTGGAAAATGGAGACCAAACTGCAGGCTCACTACTTAGTTTCATGTGTAGTTTGGAAAAACTCTAATATTGAGTTTTTCCAAACTACGTATGACAGATTTTTTAAAAAAATGGCTTTGATGTTCCTTTCTGAATTCAAGCCTTTTGGTAGTGAACCCAGGGCTTGGTCATGCTTTGGCCAAAGGGGCAGCAGCAAATAAGTCACAATCAGAATTGAAAAATGCTGGTCATGCCTGACTTATTTGGCTCAGTGGTTGAGCATCGACTTGTGAACCAGAGGTCACCGTTCCATTCCCACTCAGGGCATATGCCTGCATTGAGGGCTCGATCCCCAGTAGGGGGCATGTAGGAGGCAGCCAAGCAATGATTCTCTCTCATTCATCGATATTTCTATCTCTCCCTCTTCATTCCTCTCTGAAATCAGCAAAAGTATATTTATTTAAAATGTTGCTCATTTGGGCTTCCTCTTGTTCTACAAATTCTGAGGCTTCCATCACTCAACCAACATGCAGAAGAAGAGCTGCAAAAATGACCAGCAGCTGTTCCCAGATGCTTGCGCAAGTTCAGTCAACTATCCACCTGAGACTCAAACCGCATAATGATGAACTAAATAAATGCTTGTCACTAAGTTTGAGGTGGTGCGTATCGCAGCAAAAACTAACAGGTGCAACGTGAGAGAGTAAAGCCCAGATAGTTAATCTTGAGGGAAAGAGCTTAGTACAGCTCGAACTTACTTAGACTGTTGGTAGGAATATGCAGATGCATGTTCATTGGATGTGTCCACTGCTATCTGTTGCTGCTGACCACTGGTGTCCTGGGATGAAGGTGCCACTGTCTGGGGAGAGGTATCAGCAACAACACCCTAAGGAGGCAAATAAGAACACAAAGTGTTATTGGCTTCAGCAAAGGGCCCTCTTCCAGATGGACTTCAGAGAATTCCCCTCTTCTCTTTGGCTTGAGGAAAACTGCGCTCAGTTATGAAGCCACAATAAGTACTCAAAGGAAAACCACGGAGCATATGTGGCTAAGAGCTGAGAAATTCACCTCAATGAGCTCGAAAGGAGCCTTGCCATCACGTCCATGGAGCAGTCAAATGGCCAGAAATCATTTTGCTCATACTTACAACTCTTCAACCAGACTTGTATGCAGCCACACTGAATGGTAATTTATTAAAAAATTCATGAAGGATTTCTACAAAAAATTGTCTACTCAAGCATTTTATTGGGATAGTGCACTGTGCCATGTCTATATGATCTGGCAAAGCAATGGACTCTGACCTGCATAAGCATCTACATTAAAGTTTGGAATTCTTTTAAAAGAATATGGTTAAGAAGGTTTCCCTTCAGAAATTTGTTTTTTTTTTTTTTCTCAATAAGAACTGGAATTCCCTTAAAGGTTTCAGATAAAGAGTCAAACAAACATCAAAATTTTGATTTGCTCTTTTCCTCACCTTTTCATTCTCTTGATCCTCACAGATGCCCACAAGAATGAATTTCTGAAGTCGGTCTCTTTAGGGACACATATTGGTTCCCAGAGAGGCACAGGTAGTTTTATTAGGTAATTATTAGGCCTCAAAGGCATCTGTCTGAATATATTCCCATAGTTTCACTTATAACCTTGAACACCTGCAGCAATATTGAGTTTCAAATGTTCTGCCACAACTCTCTGCCACAAAAGATCCTTGAGGTCCTCAGAATCTGAAAATTCTCCCTTTATTAATTTAATCTTTTTCCTTCCTAATACTATTTGGTATTGTGTGTATTTTCCTGAACCTTCCACCAGTATTTAGTTGTATGGATATTGGTGAATTTTCAGTGAGTGTTTTTATATAGAAAATGAATTAATGGTTTTCCTTATAAACATAAACTAAAAGCAATATATCAGAGTGTACTTCTATTTTTATTAAAGACTTCTTTTTAAGTCCTAGATTTAACTATAATTACATTGTTTTCAATAAGCCACACTATTGAATGTGTCTCATTATTTTGTAGTCATCAAAATGCTCAAATTCTGTAGATAACCATATATCTTTGGTGTTGAGATAGAGAAATGCAAATATGTAGCAGATTTTTATGTTTAAATGTTCAGGTTCATCATTTTCTCATGTCCTAGATGCTTTTTGACAGCTGACTATAGCAAGGAAAATGTGTTTTAATCACACAGTCTTAAAATTTTGAAAATCCTACTAAAACCTGTTTAATATTAACTGACACATTCTTTGGGACCTTACAAGTCTGGGTCTCTGTGAGTTCCTAAATTACATGAAGTGTCCTCTTAAACTTCTGAGTAGCAGCAAACCTTTGTCACACACCAAATGTATGAATGGATTAAAGAAGATGTGGTGTACTTATGTATACAATGGAATATTACTCAGCCGTTAAAAATGAAATATTGCCACCTGCGACAACATGGATGGATCATGAGGGTACTACATGAAGTGAAAAAAGTCAGACAAAAAAGGACATAAACCATATGATTTCACTCATGTGGCATATAAAACAAACACAAATAAACTCATAGATACAGACAAAGATTGAGGGTTACCTGAGGGAAGGGGGTGGGGGATGGAGGAAGGGCAAATGCGTCAAATATTTGGTGACAGATGGAAACCAGACTTTTGGTGGTGAGCACCATGTAGTATATACAGATGCTGAATTATAATGTTGCACCCCTGAAACTTACACAATGTTACAAACCAGTTACCTCCATTTTTTAAATGCCAATTCTGATTCAGGAGGTCCAGGTGGTGCGTGAGAGCTTGCAGTTTTAAACAAGCTCCCCAGTGATGTCTGTAATGCTGGTCCAGGGACCTCTCTGAGTAACAAGGCACTGGAGTTGCAATATTCCCCCTCCTTATTTACGGGTATTGTGGTTAACATTTGATGGGATAGAGATTTAGTCTCCGATCTTTTCTCTAAATATGAAAATGACACTTCCCTCATACTTTGATAGCAAATTAACTTATTTTATGTGCAAAGGAAAACCTAGGCTTAGCCAGGTATGGGCACATATTTTCATTTACTGAGCTTGCAATTTCCAATTTCAGAGAAGCACAAAAATCTCACATCAGGATTCCTTGGGCTATGGGGACCATGGCATATGTGGCTGAGATGTATCTCTGTGACCCTCTTTCCATAAGACAGAGACAGACTTACTTCAATAGAAACAGCTGTCGGAGGCACAGGCGTGTACTGGGGAATGTAGGTCCCTTGCATAGGAGCAGCAGCAGTCATATACTAGAGGGAATCAAAGAAAAATGCAGGTGAACTTGGGATTGCAACCAAAGAGGAAAGTAGACATCACATGAGATATGTGGCCCATGGCCAGTGCATGATTAGAGTTCAACTCTATTTTGACCAAAACTAAGGCAGTTCCTATCAGCACAGAATTACCGCTCCTTACTGATTCAGTATTAATGGCAGCCCACCTCCACAGTATCAGTAGAAATTAACCACCCCCATTCCCTCACTCTGTCTTTGTAAATAGTCTATACCAGATCTCAAATTATTTCACTTTCATATCTAAAACATAAACTCCATGAGGGCAGGGATGATGTTCTTTATTTTCTCCATTTTCCTGCTGGCATCTATCACATAGTAGGCTCTCAACAAATTATTTGTTGAATGAATGAATCAGATTGTTAATAATAATTTATTGTCTAAATAAAAATAATAGAGGAATAATGCAAGAAATACTTATGTAGCAACATTGAGAATTGGCAATTGTCATCATTTTGTTATTTTCACATAACTATTTTATATCTATATCTATGTATCTATATATATCTACATGTATATATTGCAGATAATGTTACAGCCTCCTTTGTTCCCTCCCCATCCCATTCTCTTGTCACTTTCACGTTCAGGATTCCCTTTTCAACTCCTTGAATTCTCCAAATTTTCTTCGTCCAAATAAACAATGAAACATTCAAACCATTTTTTTCCCACTAAGTTGTAGTATTCAGTAACATATGTATTGGGGATAACATGTATTTTTTGCAATGAAGATAGGGAGCCCCAGAAAAATTACAGTGTCATCTAACAGAAAGTACGACCCGTATTCCTATTTCTAATACACATCTCCCTTGCAAATTCAAAGTTCTACTCTTCGACAATGGAATTTTCTATAGAATAAACTTTATTTCTGAGTTCCTAAACTTGATGGACATCACAAAACTTTAGAACCAGAATCCTTTAATGAAGATAAGATTTCTCAATTCATGCAGGTTAGAGAAATTATGTTTATGAGCCTGTGAATATTTATTCTTCTAAATTTGTTGAGTTCAAAAATTAAGGCCATGCATAAATATGCAAAACCTAAATTAGTATACTTTACTTATCTCGGTACTTTCAGTACCCAAGAGGCAAAGTGATTCTGAATCAAGGGAATATATGAATGGAGACTAGCTCAATGGTTGTTGTTTAATATTTATGGAGAATTATAGCAGCAAAGCAATTCTTGAGTAAATGCATCTTCGTTGTAAAATAAGCACTGTCCTACTGTATCTATTGGTTAAAAAATAGAGACAGCTTTAATGAAACAACTCCAAACCAACTGACTGTTGTCTGTATTCTTGTTGCTACTAATAACAGCTCAGTGCAATTCACATATGTACGTATTAAACAGCCTTGTCACTTGGACCAAGAGCGATTGTTTGAAAGTCGTGGTGATATTACTCATTTAGCTTTTTAGTTCAATATTATCCGAGCTTTCTGTGCCCTGTCCTCTGTGATAGCATTCATCGCTCGCCTATTAAAATTGTCCAGACTATTATCTCCTGGAAGGGATGGGCCAAGTGTCACTTGTCTCTGCATCTTCTAACGCACCGAATGCCTGATTCTTGATAAGTTATTGTTCAAGGCTGAATAAAAGGATACGAGTAGAAAACCTTCCACTTCCAATTACAAATCTTGCATGCCTCATAGCCATTGATCATTCTGAGCTTTTTATATTAATGTCACCAACCCTATAAGGTTTATATAACATTTTAAGAAATACTTTCTCCAACTCATTGTCCTTGTATCCTTAAGCAGATAATAAGTATTCAGGTATTTGATTGCTGTCCATTTTTAAAATAAGTATAGAACTCTGGAGTCACATTTCAGCAAATACTTCACATCTAGAACCCTGTGGCAGGTGTTTGCATTAGCAACAAAACCGCTTTAGAGAGTACATCAGGGAATAATTATAGTCCCCTGACTATTTCAGACAGGTGGTTTGACTGTGTTATATAGGTTTTAAATATCCTTTGATTCAGTTTTCCCTACAATGTATTTTTTATAGAATGCTAGGCTCAAGTGAGAAAAAAGCTCTGTGTTCCAATGCACTCCAGTAATGCTGTGCACTATATTCTTTTCTTTGATACTGACATGTAATAAAACACTTTTGAGAAATAATTATTTTACAAAAGCCTAGTTAAAGTTGATTAAACCAGCATTTCTAAAACTTTTTTTTGTAGCACCTAATAATTTTTAGAACTAGTGCTCTAAAACATACTTTGTAAAATGTTTCTTTAATCTCAAAAATCCTAGATTTATAGCAAGTAGAAACACACACACACACACACACACACACATATATATTAACCAACTATGAATTTATCTAAGCACAGAGTTGATACTGTTGTGGTTCATGTTTTACCCTTAGGTCATGATTTTCTAAGAGTTAGAATATACTAGTAAAAGGACAGTCCACTATGGAGCTGGTTATTTTCTTTAAAAAAAAAGAGTTTGTTTTTTTTTAAAATTGATTTCAGATAGAGGGAGGGAGAGAAAGAGAGAGAGAGAGAGACATAAACATCAATGATGAGAGAGAGAATCATAGATTGGCTGCCTCCTGCATGTGCCTCCACGGGGAATCGAACTGTGACCTCTTGGTTCAGGGGTCAATGCGCAACCACTGTGCCACACCAGCTGGGCCAAGTTGGTTATTTTCTATTCCAGAGTTAGTAATTACGACTTTGCAACTGGGCCTAATAAATGTATCCTTTGCATAAGACGATGCCATCACTGGCACCCATCTGCAGGACAGGACTTTGATCTGTCTCTGCTCCACTGTCTGCATCTCTAAGGAGGTGGTTCTGTGAACTAGATTTAGGAACATGATCTGAGGCTATAGAAAGCAATCTTCACTAGCTCACAGGAGAATCCACCCCATTTCTTAAGACCTCTCATGCCAAACTAGAGTTCCTAGGCTGTGTAGTTAATGGAAAGCATATTCTGTAATTCTTAGCTAAGCTTCTTCAAATGATTCTGAGTTATTCCAAACCTCATCTGTGTTTTAGTCAGTAAAACAGAATTGGCAAATCTTCACACCTCCCGTGACATTCAGTGAAGTGGGAACATGACCTAACTGAACTGCTTAAGGTGTAAGTTCTTACTCGTCTTCTGTTTAGATGGTTCACCCATATTACACACTGAGAAACAGAAACCTACATATAATGGGAATAAACTCCAGTTCTTCTGACCTGTGATTCAGCACTTTTCAATCCACTACATTATCTTTGAAGTTAAGTAAATAAGGTCTTAAGAGGCTCCTTTTGATCATTACTATGTACTATAGATACTGTTTTTTCTTAACTAATGGAGTGTAATAACTAGTTCTGGATAAAAAATAGAATAATATGCCTATGATTAACATTTTTATTGTTTAATTTCCAGACATTTTTAAATTTTACTTTATACTCAGAGCACCTGATTTTCTTCTAGGAGGGCTACCCTATATGTTTAAGTATTACTTAACTTGCTTTTATGCTACTATTCTAAAGAGAACCAGTAGAGATTTTATAGTATAAACTAGAGGCCCGGTGCATGAAATTCGTGCACTTGGGATGGGGGTTCCCTCAGCCCAAATTGCGAGAGGGCGCAGGCCAGGCTGAGGGACCCCACCTGTGCATAATTGGGGCCGAGGAATGACCATGGGAGGGCTCCAGGGCATGTCCAGCCCTTCTTGCTCAGTCCCGATCAGCCGTACCCCAGCAGCAAGCTAACCTATCGGTTGGAGCATCTGCCCCCTGATGGTCAGGGCATGTCATAGTGACTGGTAAACCGGTCGATTGTCTGCTCCCTGGTGGTCAATGCATGTCATAGCGAGTGGTTGAGCAGCCTTAGCATATCATTAGCATATTATGCTTTGATTGGTTGAATGGACAACTGGACACTTAGCATATTAGGCTTTTATTATATAGGACTAGAGGCCCCGTGCATGAAATTCATGCATGGGGGGGTGGTGCCTCAGCCCGGCCTGCACCCTCTCACAATCTGGGACCGCTGGCTCCTAACTGCTTGCCTGCCTGCCTGTCTGATCACCCCTAACCACTCTGCCTGCCTGCCCCATGCCTGTAACCACTTGCCTGCCTGCCTGCCTCATAGCTCCTAACTGCTCGCCTGCCTACCTGATTGTCCCTAACCGCCTCTGCCTCAGCCCCTGCCACGGCGGCTTCATCCAGAAGGACATCCAGAAGGTTGTTCGGCTGTCTGGTCTAATTAGCATATTTTCCTTTTATTATTATAGATGAGGTCAGTTCAGTTCAATATGGTGTGTGTGTGTGTGTGTGTGTGTGTATGTGTTTTAATGGGAAAAAACCAATGACCCTACTTTGGGGTTCTTTTTTTTTTTCCTTTGGTCATGAGTAAACTAAGACAGGGCTTGAGAACGTTGTTTGAAAATTAGGAACAGACACTTATTTCAAACAAGTCGACACTATGGAGTTTTATACCCTGTAAAACTATTATCTCTGGATAAACTTGTACAACAAACTCTTCTGTAGTAGACATATATTTCCTAGAGTAAAGCCTCAAGAAGTGGCAGCCTTGTAAATTTAGGAGCATCTGCTTACAGGATATGGTTATAGCTATATGTAAGATCAATTCTCAGCTTTACGTAATTGGCAACAAATAACCCTGCATTTTCTTTGCAAGCACAGAGCTTGATTTCCTTAAGAGATAAAGTGCAGACAGACCTAATAATCCAGGATGCACAAAAAAATTGCTTAGATCTGGGTGCTTCAAAGGTGGCTTTCATTTTATCTGGCTTGCAAGTGACATAGGACCAAGAGGAGGACCTGTGACATAAAAAAAAAATCTGTCCCTTTTACTTGATGAATCCCTTTGGATTACTTATTAAAACTAACAAGAATGGATGTGCATCTTTGAAACTAATTTCTTTTATGGGTATTTCTCAAAAGCTAGAAAAAATCTGCCATAATTCTTTCATAAGTGAAAATTATTTTGTATTT